GTCGCAGGCGCTTCGCTGGTTTCAGCACTCTCAAGGGGGTCGGCGGGGGGGTATCTCTCTTGCCCCGTTCGCGCCCAGTTTGTGGGGATGTCTCAGGCGGTTTGGCCATTCGGTTGCCCCGACATGTTTTTCTTTCGGAGCAGATTTGGGAGGATGTCTCAGGCGATTCGCTGGTTTTAGCACTCCCAAGGGGGGCGGCAGAGGGGGTATCTCCCTCGCCCCGTTCGCGCCCAGTTTGTGGGGATGTCTCAGGCGGTTTGGCCACTCGGTTGCCCCAGCGTGTCCCGCTTTCGGAGCTCACGAACAGGAAGGGGAGCAGGAGAAAGAGGAGGAGGAGGAGGAGGAGGAGGAGGAGGAGGCTAGCATGAGCACGAGTAGGAGCAGGAGCAGGGAGGGGATGATGATGATGAGAATGATGATGATGATGATGATGATGATGATGATGATGATGCTGATGATGATGATGATGATGATCATGATGATGATGATGATGATGATGATGATGCTGATGATGATGATGGTGATGATGGTGATGATGATGATGACGATGATGATGATGATCATGATATGATGATCAGGATGAAAATGAAGATGAGAAGGATGATGAAGATGATGGTGCTGATGATGATGATGATGATGATTGCCTCGCTCGCTCGGGGGCCTCTGGGGGAGGAGGAGAAGGAGGAACCATTCAGACTCACACTCAGACTCGCTCTTGCTCAGACTCATCATCCTTCGGTCCGCTCAAGCGCAGGCCGACTCACATTCAGATTGCCTCACGTCTATGCCCAATCACACTCGGCTCATTCGCACTCATATTCATTAGCACACACTTTCTCTCACACTCAGACCCACTCAAGCCCAGACTCACTCATGCTCAGACTCATCATGCTACGATCCGCTCAATCACATACTGGCTCACACTCAGGTTCGTCCATACTCAGACCCCCTCGCACACAGACGCACTCGCGCTCATATTTACTCACACGCATACCAATCAAACCCAGGCTCAATTGCACCCAGACTAACTCACACTCAGAATCAGTCGCTCTCAGATTTGCTATTGGTCGCACTCATGCTTGCATACGAATGTCTCGAGCGAGCGGTTCGCCCTCGCACACCGTCGCTCATTGACATATATCAACAGAAATACTTACCAAAATAATGATATGCACATATGGGGAACCCCTCGTCGAGTAATTATTGGCGGACCGCGCCGGAGGAACACGCACAGGAACCCACCTCACCACTCAGGTTCAGTCACAGACTCACCCTCATCAGTCAGACTCGGCGTCACTCATCTTTACTCAAAACCAGTACTGATCAACTCATCAACTCAGTACCCAGTCATCACTCAGACTCACACATCATTCAGACTCACTCACCACTTATACCCACTCATCTGTCCATCATACTGTCTAACTCACACTCATCATGCTCACTCGTCACTCAGACCCACTCATCATTCAGGCCTACTCGTGATTTGTCATCATTCAGACTCAGTCATCACTCAGACTTACTCATCCTTATTCGGTCTTATACGCAGATGTTGAGGGTGTCACAGGCGCTTCGCTGGTTTCAGCACTCTTAAGGGGGGCGGCGGGGGGGTATCTCCCTCGCCCCGTTCGCGCCCAGTTTGTGGGGATGTCGCAGGCGGTTTGGCCATTCGGTTGCCCCAACATGTCCGCTTTCGGAGCAGATTTGGGAGGATGTACCAGGCGAATCGCTGGTTTCAGCACTCCCAAGGGGGGCGGCAGGGGGGTATCTCCCTCGCCCCGTTCGCGCCCAGTTTGTGGGGATGTCTCAGGCGGTTTGGCCATTCGGTTGCCCCAACATGTTTTTCTTTCGGAGCAGATTTGGGAGGATGTCCCAGGCGAATCGCTGGTTTCAGCACTCCCTAGGGGGGCGGCAGGGGGGTATCTCCCTCGCCCCGTTCGCGTCCAGTTTGTGGGGATGTTTCAGGCGGTTTGGCCATTCGGTTGCCCCGACATGTCCGCTGTCGGAGCAGATTTGGGAGGGTGTCCCAGGCGAGTCGCTGGTTTCAGCACTCCCAAGGGGGGCGGCAGGGGGTATCTCCCTCGCCCCGTTCGCGCCCAGTTTGTGGGGATGCTTCGGGCGGTTTGGCCACCCGGTTGCCCCAACATGTTTTTCTTTCGGAGCGTTCGTTGACGTCTACCTATGGAAGGAGTTACCACGATAATGAGATGCACATATGGGGAGCCCCGCGCCGAGTAATGCAGACTCAGTCATCACTCAGACTTACTCATCCTTATTAGGTCTTATACGCAGATGTTGAGGGTGTCACAGGCGCTTCGCTGGTTTCAGCACTCTTAAGGGGGGCGGCGGGGGGGTATCTCCCTCGCCCCGTTCGCGCCCAGTTTGTGGGGATGTCGCAGGCGGTTTGGCCATTCGGTTGCCCCAACATGTCCGTATTCGGAGCAGATTTAAGAGGATGTCCCAGGCGAGTCGCTGGTTTCAGCACTCCCAAGGGGGGCGGCAGGGGGCTATCTCCCTCGCCCCGTTCGCGCCCAGTTTGTGGGGATGTCTCAGGCGGTTTGGCCATTCGGTTGCCCCAACATGTTTTTCTTTCGGAACAGATTTGGGAGGATGTCCAAGGCGAATCGCTGGTTTCAGCACCCCCAAAGCGGGCGGCAGAGGGGGTATCTCCCTCGCCTCGTTCGCGCCCAGTTTGTGGGGATGTCTCAGGCGGTTTGGCCATATGGTTGCCCCAACATGTTTTTCTTTCGGAGCAGATTTGGGAGGATGTCTCAGGCGATTCGCTGGATTCAGCACTCCCAAGGGGGGCGGCACGGGGGTATCTCCCTCGCCCCGTTCGCGCCCAGTTTGTGGGGACGTCTCAGGCGGTTTGGCCATTCGGTTGCCCCAACATGTCCCGCTTTCGGAGCTCACGAACAGGAAGGGGAGCAGGAGGAAGAGGAGGAGGAGGAGGAGGAGGCAGTAGCTGCTGTCATCCCATTGAGACCCAAAACCAAGCGCGGACTATCCAGTTCCAGAAGAAGAGACAATTCTTAGACGCATCATGAAACAGTATTTCAATCAAAGGTTACATTCTTTCCTCCTCCTTCTCCTCTCCGTCCTCCTCCTCTCTCTCTCTCTCTTGTTTCTTGCCCCATCACACTCAGGCGTTCGTTGACGTCTACCTATGGAAAGAGTTACCACGATAATGAGATGCACATATGGGGAGCCCCGCGTCGAGTAATTTTATCAGCTCTCGCACCGTACCGCTATACTGCTATCGCGCCCGCGAGAGCACGCGTTCCTCCGGTTTGCCCTGCTCCTCTCGCCATTCCTTATCTCATTTTCCATTCCCTTCTCTTGCCTTCCCTTTCACTTCCATCTCCATCCCTTCTCTCTCCTCCCTCCCGCCCCATTCCATCCCTCCTTTCCTTTCCAGTTGTCTTCTTTCTGCTCCTCCCCTTTCTTTCTCGTGTTCCTGCTGCCTGTCATGCTTACAGGAGGGAGGGCATTTTTCCTACTAGCAGCAAGTGTTCAGAGCCTCAGAGTGTCCACTCTCGGAAATATTTTGCAGGGCCACTACCACCGAGGTGACCCGGAGACACGTCATGGCCACGTCCACGGCTGGAAGGTTCTTCAATATGTCAGTTCAATCGAGAAAACCCCCTGGCGAGTCACCTCCGCCCCCTGCTTATGTGGCAATGCCTACGTGGCTAAACGTTGGGCCACAGTGTGGGCCACACAGTATGCCAGACAGGCTCCGCTTGGCTGCCACCCATTCGCTCGTTTCTCTTGCGCCTCTATGTGTCGCGCTGATGTTTGCGATTCCCGCCAGAGTCTAATATGTTTGTCGAGGTGGTTGAACCGTGATGTGCACCGACCAATGATGCGAACTCAATTGCCCCTCTTCATCACGCAAGATCTGTCATTGCAGTGAATGCTGCTGATGCGCCCCCTTTTCTCCTGCTTGCCTTTTCTCCTCGAGCTGTTGCTAACACTGCGGCTCTTCCTCCTCCTCCTCCTCCTCTTTCTCCTCCTCCTCCTTTTGCTCCCGCCCTTCGAATCCTGCCCTCCGCATCCTTCTCCACCTCCCTCGCCCCTTGCTGCATCCTCTTCCTCCTGGCATTCTCCCTCCATGCCCAGCTGCTCGCCTTCAGCCCCGCTGCCGCGCTACTGTGTCAGCGCAGCAGCGCAGCACGATGGAGGGTGATTGTTCAGGACCAGTTCCGTTTCAGTGCGAGTCTGAACTAGCGCGGGCCTGAAACATCCCCTCCTTGTCCACAGCTTCTTTCTCCACCTCCTACCGTAGCTTGGAGGATACTGGAGGGTTTTTTCGGGGCCTCCTGGGGACCTCTGCGGGTAGGGAACCCGTCGGGGGTCTCGGGGCATCTTGGGCGCGATGCTTCTACGGAGCTCTTCCGAAGAGGCTCGACTGAACAATTTCTGGGGCGTGGGCGGGCCTCGGCGCCGTCGATCCGATTCGGCGGCGTGTGTGCCCAGCTCGACCTGATTTGATCTCGATCTCCCTGACGATCTGACGCAGCCCGATGCTTGCACGGCGCAGTTGCATGTCCGGGCGCAGCCGATGCGACTCGATTTTGTCTCCCAGCCGACGCAGCCCGATTCGGTGTTCGCGCCGATCCGACCCGACTCTGCAAGTGGATGCTGGTTGACCATGCCTCCTCCTCCCAGATTCTCCCGGGTGAGGCTCACGCCGCGCTGGCATCGATCACGGGCTCTGTTGGGTGCAGGCCTCTCTCCCTGCTCGTCGGCCCCGCCTCGGTGGAGCTCGCCGTGCAACGGCGTGCCGTGGCTCCGCGCGGCGGGCCTCCTCGGAAGGCTCAGACGGCCTCCGGCCTTCCGAGGAGCTCTCGGGGGCCCCCCCTCCGAGGGCGTAGGGGCCTCCGCAGGCCGGAGGGGCTCGCGAGGGGCCCCGCCGCCTGCCGAGGGGGCCTGCCCCCTCTCACGCTGCCGAGCCACTGCTGCTGACCGCGCCTCCCGGCCCCCTGCGGCCCCGCACCCAGGAGCGCGGCGGCTGCGGAGGCAGAGATGGAGCGCGACACGGAGGGCGCCACGGATGCCACGCTGGCGCCCCCCGCTCCGTGGCAGTAGGGGCAGGGAGGCAGGGGAGGTCGGGGGCAGCGTTCGGGGGGGGACGCCAGCGTCTCCATGTGCGCTGACGACTCGAACATCCAGAACATACGGGCAGACAGGGGAATCCTGTGATTTGCGTCTGTTTACGTGTGTGTGTGTGTGTGGCTCAGCCTGGTTTAGGCCACAGGCGCTCAAACCGTCGAGTACGGTGCATACTGCAGTAGGTCAGGTCGGGCCTCACCGAACGGGGATGTTGCGACAGTGAAAACAGTCTCTTGGTCGATCCTTGATTCTGGGTCTCACTTACTCGGATATCTCTCTCATCACTTTACGTGTGTGTGTGTGTGTGTGTGTGTGTGTGTGTCCCTGGGCCCCTTCACCCATGGGGGTGTGCACGGGCTCGCAGGCGCACGTTCACCGCCGACACGGGGCCCGACGGGCCCACCGCGCCCGGGGGCCTGTCGCCGACCTGTCGGCAAAGCACCGCCGATTCCAGGTCGATGCTCCTCCCCCCGAGCGGGTCCCTTTCCCCCAATTAGGGGGGGGGGGGGGGCTCGGCCTCGACTCCTGGGGGGGGGGAGCGTGGAGCACATCTCGGCCTCGGCGCTGCTGCATCCGCGGCCCAAGGGGCGTCCACCCTGGCCCGACCCCCTTCTGGCCCGACTCGGAGGAGAAGCAGCTCCATAAGCATAAACTTTCCAGAGTCTCGAAGCGAAACCCAGCGGTGACGACGAGGGCCTCCCAGGAGGCCCCCGAAAAGGGGAGAACGAGGAACAGGTAGTGGTATGGGTACCTTTTCCTCCTCTGTCTGCGCTCCGACTCGAAGGAGAAAAAACAGCATAACCGTAAACTTTCGGCGGTCCGGGCGGATTTCTTGGATCCGCGCTGGGCCCGGTCGGCGGCGCCTCCGGCGCCGCCTCTGGCGCGCTCCGCGCGCCAGGGAGGGGGCCCAGCGCGGGTCCGAGAAATCCGCGCGGAGCGCCAGCAAACGTTTATGTTTATACCATTGTTCCTTCTTCTATGAACCCCGCTCGCTCTGGCTCGACCGCGTGCTTCAATCTGGCTTGGTCCTGGGGAAACTAAAGGGTACGGTACCGCTACTCCCCGGACCTCTCCTGGGGTGCGTTCTGATCAGAATCTCGAAGCGAACCCAGCGGGGACGACAAGGGCCTCCCAGGAGGCCCCCAAGAAAGGGAGAACGAGGAAGATGTACTCCGAGTTTCTGAATAAGCGTCGGGGGAGCGTCACCCCCGCCGACAGCCCCACATCGACCCCCGTCGCGGGCAGCCACAGCGCGCCGAAGGCGCTCCGATTCCCGTCGCGGCGCGACGACGAGGCGAGGTTGACCCCCGTGGGGGGGTACCCCCTCTACGCTTGTTAACAAATCCAGAGTAGCGGTGTGGGTACCTCTTCCTCCTCTGAGGTCCGGCTTCGTGGCTCTCGATCGGGCTTCCTTGTTGCCCTTGCGCAGTGGTTCCCGCGAGGGCCTCCCAGGAGCTGCCTCCCGAGGGGGAGCTGCCTCCCAGGAGTTCCGACTCCCTTTTTTTCTTATCTCTCTCTCTCTCTTTCCCTCTCTCTCTCTTTTTCTTTCTCTCGATCGAGGAGGAGGAGGCGGGGGAGAGGAGGAGGAGGATGAGGAGAAGGAGGAGAAGGCGGAGAAGGAGGAGGAGGAAGAGGAGGAGTAGGAGGAGGAGGAGGAGGAGGAGGCAGAGGAGGGTATGCTCGTGTCTGTCCACCCAAGTTCGGTGTCAATGACCTTCCTCGGCTCAAGCAGCTGGCCACTTCGTTTGAAGCCCTTGGGGACAAACACGAGCACCAGTATTATGTCAACATTGTCTCCAGTATCGAGGCTGCTGCGAGGCCAGCTCAACCTCTCAAGGTCGGCATGGCCAAACCCGAGTGTGAGCAGGCACGAGTGCAGCTTGATAAGGCACTACAGGCGGCTGAGAAGCTGGATAGCGTTGTTACTGAGGCGAAGCTTCGTGCGGTCCAAGCGCATGGAGAGTTCAAGAAGCGGGAGGCTGAAGATCATGATACAATCCCATCTTTGCGAAATGCAGTTCTTCCCACTCTAGAGTCATACAGTCGCAAGAGGCAGGCAAGGCGAAGCTCGAGTTGACTTGCAACTTGATGACCGAGGAGTGTTCGGTCTTTCTGAGGCAGATGTTTCCCTCTTGGCTGAGGAACGTGAAGAACTGGTCAAGTGCAAGAGGCAGGTTCTCGACATCTTCCAGGAGGCTGCCCAGGCAGCTTTCGGCGAGGCCACGTCGAAGGCAGATTTTTTGGTTTGCGGAACACAAGGAGCTTAATCGTAGGATGGTTGAGTCCAAGAAGAGGCGGAGGGAGGATCCAGCTTATTCAGGTGATGGTGATGATGCGACGCTTGCGGAAGCAAAGTCCCCGGATGGGCAATGTGCTGCATCAGGAAACCCGTCGGCAGCAAGTTCCGCAGCAGGAGGTCCAGGCCCTCTCAGCGTCTACGCCGCGGCGGCCGCGGAGGCAGAGGCGTACCCCTGTACCACATAATGGCGACGACGATGCTTTGACCGAGGCCGTTCGGTCTCAGTCGTAGACAGGTATCGTGTTTTGTGGTTGTGCCTCTCAATATTGTCTGGTTTCCTCTGTGTTTCCATTTGTTTTTGCTGGAGGTGCTGGTTCGGCTTTTTGCACCTGGACTTCTTCGCTGTCTTTCGGTACTCCGTGGACAGGGTGCCCCCTCACTGGGCCTGAGAAGGCGATGGCCCCATGTACGAAACCTACCGCAGGTTGGCCTTCGGGCCAAGACCGCGTGCAGGCAAACCACGGCGCGTGGCTCTCTGGAGGCTCGGCAGACGACGCCCCAAGTATCGCGGTTTCTTTGTCCACTGCGATGGCGGCATCCTTTTCGGCGTGGGCATTGGGGTGCTCACTCGCCTTGCCTGAGAAGGTGATGACCCCCCGCTCTCCCGCCCCCGCCGGAGGTTGGCGCCTGGACCAAGACTTCGGCCAGTATTCCCACGGCGCGAGTCTCATTAGAGGCTCGTCAGACGACGCCGCATGTACTTCCGTTTCTTCGTCGATTTCACGAGTGGCATCCTCTTTCAGCGTGGGCATCCGGGTGCTCACTCACCTGGCCTGGAAGGGCGATGGCCCCGTTGACGGCCGCTGGCGCAGGTTTGTGCTTGGACCAAACCTCGGCCAGTTATTTCGCGGCGGGGGTCTCGCTGGAGGACGGGCAGACGACAGCCCGCGTACCTCGGTTTCTGCGTCTACTCCGGTGGCGGCAACTACTTTGCAGGCGGGCCAGCTTGTTTTTGGGGACCTTGCGCCGATGGACATGGGCCGCCTTCCTCCCGAGCCCGACGCAGACCCGCCTCGGGGGGTGTTGTTGGAAGGCGTCGCGTCGGCGGCTGCGTGGTGGATTGCTTGACTTGGCAATGCTGAGTCGGGCTGGGGTTGTTGGTTTCGTAGTTGGCCGCGATCCAGTTGGGCGCCTCAAGTTTTGCGAGGTCGCGCGCGGCAGGAGTTGGCGCGTGATATCTGGTGCGCTTCCTGGGCCCGAGGCGCCTGCGGGAGGAGGCGCATTTGGAGTTACCAGGATTTGTTGTTCCAGCATGGGATTCTTGTGGCATGGGGGCAGGTGGTTGCAGATCATTGGAACCAGCTCAATCAAATTTGCCATCGCGTGAGTAGCGTGCCTGGTGATCGAGCTCCTGCGGCCGAGCGTGAGTATCTGTGTGTTGATGCTGCTGAGGAGTGGTCGCGCGGCGTTGATGCCGACCGTCGGCGGTGCGATTCTTGGCGGACAGCAGCGGGCCCACCAAGAGACAGAGCGCAAGGGTGCCACCTTTAAGCGTGGGTCTGCATGGGCCACATTTTGAGTTATCAAATCTTCAGATGTGACACTGGCGGCAGAACGTCGTTTGCACGGCCCCCAACGCGTCCGGGCCATCAAGAGGCGCAGGCAATTCGGTGGAAGATCTCCTCCCTGGCCGCAGTCGGCACGTGCAATGGTGGTCATCGCGGTAGCGTCTGGTCCCTTGTGCGCAGTCATCTTTATCGTCGGCCTCTCTACTTTGAAATCGCGAAAACTCTCGCTGCGCCAGGCCTGGGAATGCCACCGCAGTGGACTAGCCGCGCCGTCAAGATGGAGGAGATCGACGTCGTGCTGGCGATCCTCTACTGCGTCTTGGCCTGGGGCTCCAGGGAGAGAGCGTCTCGCTTCTTTGTGAGGATGCAGGTTATGTCAAGGCGCAAGATCCAGGAAGTAGCTGCGCATGGCCTTCACTTTTCTGCGGGGTGCGTTTTGCGCGCTGGCGGATGAGGTCCCGGTTCTGCGGCCGTCGGCCAGGCCCTGGAGCTCACCTGGGACGCGCTTTCGCCATGGGCCCAGCCACGCGCGGGCTTCGTTGGGGCTCTGCGGGCGTCAAATTCGGCCTCGAAATTTTTCCGCACTGACCGCGACTTTACGAGTAGCTCTCAAGATGCCAGCGTGCACCGAGGCTTGTGAGTTCAGGTTCAGCTGGCGCCCGAGCCAGAGGGGTGGCCGTCAGACGCCTCCAGACTCGCGACCTGATGGGCATTTTATTCCATGCTGACTGAGTGGAAGGTCAGCTCACGTAGCGTCGTGCCATCCAGCCAGCTGTTGAAGATGTTCCAGCCGCGTGCCTTTGAGTCCAGATCTTGCCGCGCTTCTTGTCGGAGTGGGGTGGGGTGGGGGTGGGGCGGGGGTGTGGTGGCGGTGGGTGGGGTGGGGGGGTGGGTGGGTGGGGTGGGGTGGGGGCGCGTTGGAGGAGTTAGCGTCTTCTGGGGTCAGGGCCTTGGAGAACCACTTGGAGGCCAGTCAGCGGAAACTCTCGCTCCTCTCGGTGTCCTTGGAGGCGCCTCGAGATTATCCAGCAGGCTGGGGCTGGATTGACCTGTCCACCCCAGCTTCGCCATGTGCTGATCCAGCTTATCCTTAAACGTGTCTCTGCCTCTCGTGCCCATTTTGCTGGCCCCCGACGCGCGCCGAG